GTTGCCGAGGATGGACTTAAAAACTCCATACTTGGTGATTGCGTTTAGAAATGACAACATACGTCTCCTCGTCGAAGTCATAGTCTCCTTCCGTGCCGAAGTCTGTGGGTCAACAACGGGTGAGTACATACATACTCAGTAAGCCCTAACCATATGGTGGAAATAGAAGTGTAGTGGTATTTATAGTTAAGGGTTGGGTCCTAGCGGAGCATTACCATTCCTACTAGTTCCTGGGTTATCATCAATTCCATTAACAGTTTTGTTACACATAAAAGTAAATCTAATCATAGTATCCCATCCTAGCATTTGCCCATTTCATGGATGTGGCTATTCGAATAGGTTTACTTAACTCTGCAGAGGTGTATAAATTTTCCCACACGATAGGTACAACCTCATCCATGATCAGTGGATGAAATAGACCTAACGAGACCCCGTACCCGAATGTACGTGACCTTAGATGTCCATATAACTCTACTACGGCTTCTCAGGGGTTGGAAACACACAAATTCTAGGAAGATGCCTAATCGTCCCAACATGATGATACCTAATCATCACATAATAATAACATGGCTCGAACATGGCCAAAACAATAATCATGGGCTCGAACGCGGCCATAATCTCAAAAGCTTAACGTGGAAGATCACATAGCATCCATGCCAACCGGACCACGGAAGAAAACCTATCCCCCATGTCTGCTCCTAATATTGCACTGCCTACACCGGCCTCCTAGTAGAAATTATATTTCTATCTAACGGGGTGTGAGATCAACCCTACCCATATAGACATGCAGCTGCATGTAATATCTTAGTAGGCGAGAGGGATTACAAACCGGTCCTTATATGACTGAGGTGAGTATCTTCCATAGGAATCCTCTCTAGACATCCCTATCATGATAAACTACCTCCATAGTTTACCACCACTCGCCCCCTATCGGGGTTTAGTTTTAGGTTTACCAATTTTAAGTTTCTTTATTATCCCTAAGTCTATTCATATCACGGAGCTCACAATTTAACAAGATAACCATTTATCTTAATTCAACAATAATCATATCACGATAACCGAGCTTATATTCTAGGGTAATAATCTAAAAGTCATGGTTTAAACATTTCAGTGATTTAAAGTAAGATGGTAGAGAGGGGAGCTAGGACTTGCCTTCGTCGTTTTCACCTTCCGGCACGTCTACGAAATCTAGGTCCTCGTCGTCCTGACGATCACCGTCGCCTGTCGACGTATCGATCGAAATAAGACTACCACCAACCATAAAAGAAAGGGCAAAAGCAAACATAGAACAGTATGGTTGTTCTAGGTGCAGATGATAGAGCTAGATTTTAAATGAATTTTAGAGGTGGTTTAATGTAAAAAGGAGTTAGGGTTCATAAGTTACATAATTTTAGAAGTTTATTCTATAGCTATTTAACTAGGTAGAAATTTATATGCATTTACTAGTGCATGCTACATGATTAAATTCCCTAATGCATCTAGTTTATTTATAAATTTTCTGGGATTTTTTCTAAGCAAGGAAGATGTATTTTTAGCTCTCTGTATACACTAGCCGGGCGTACCCAGCGTTTTCTAACGCGTACCCTGCGCTGTGTGTGTGATATGTGTGTGTGCGGATGACAGGTGGGCCATCCTGCCACGTCAACGAAGACGGCGGCAGCGGCGTCATGGCCATGGGCCCACGTGACAGTGAAAGAGGGAGAGAGAGATGGACGGGAGCCGACGGTAATGGCAACGCCATTCTGTGCCTGGCCCGCATGGTAGAGATGGAGAAGGGGAGAGGGGGAGACGACGACGGACGGGGGTGACCGCCGTGACGCCGGAACAGGGGAAAGGAGGTTCGGGCTCACTAGAGTTGGTCACGCCGTCGGTGTTGGCCCTCGGTGGTGATAGGTAATGGGTGTATGGTGCTCGCGGGGTCGCACCACGGCCGATGGCGGGGTTGCCATTAGCAACGGGTGCCCACGGTGGCGGTGGTGGCTCACCAGAGGGAACGCGGCCGCACTACGCAGCAAACCCGGCTATACGAGCCTCTACCGTCGCAACTGATAACGTGTACGTGAGTGCGGGTGAGTGGTGAGTGTAGTGGTGGTGGTGTCGTGCCTTGGGTGACCTTGCCGGTGGTGGCCGACGGCCATGGCGGTTCGGCAGAGCAGGGCGCACGGTGGCAGCGCAACACAGAGAGAGAAACGACTAACTAGCTAGCAAAGGCGATATAGGAGGGGCTCTAGAACTCACCGGTCACTCTAATCGGCCAAGGACGTAGCGGGGAGGAGAAGAGGGAGGCGGCACCAATGGCGCCGGCGAACTCCCGATTTGGGGGAAATTGGAAGAAGGTGGAAAGGAGGAGGGGAGAGGGGAAACGAAGGGGGAGATGGGGTGTCCCGCCCTCGACGGAGCTGATGGCAGAGAGGGCGAGGTGAGAGCATCATCGGTCGAGCCTATTTATAGGTCGGCTAGGTCGGTTCACGACGGTGAGATATTTTCTCGTGGCCGCTCTTACCCACCACACGCGCTTGTGGTTGACCTTGTCAGGTCGGTTCGCCACAGTGGGTGCTTGCCCACGCGCATGGCGAGGTGTTTTGGCGGCTACTCTGATGGCTCGGCGCGGAGGCGACCATGGCGTCGACATTGATGAGCTCACAGTGAGGGAGGAGAGGGGAGAAGAGAGAAGAGGTGCGCCGTGGGGTCCTGAGGTCTCGTCGTGTCGCTGTTTACCTTTGCTGGCACCAAGGTGGAGCGGGGCGGGGTGTTGATGCGCGGCTGTGCCGCGTACGACTGCCGACCGCGAGGTAGACGAAGAAGCTGATGAGCGGGCCCCGGGCGTCGATGAGAGGGAGGGGAGAAGGGAAGGGCGTGGGCGTGGGTGAGGCTGGGCCGGGCGCTTGCTGGGCCGGCCCACGCGAGAGAAGAGAAGGGGAGAGGGGAGGGTGGAGCGGGCTGCTGCAGGTCGAAAGGGGAGAAGGGGAGGGAATGAGCCCGTGGGGCTTTTATCTATTTCTATTTCCTTTTCTTTTCCCAGCCTTCATATGCATTGTTTAAATTAGGTTTTGGATTCAAATTTGAAATGCAAGTATGCAGTGAGTACCAAGCAAACATTCACACACAAGGTTTCACACATAAAGTTTTATTTTTATGTTTAGTTATATATTTTAGTTCCTATGTAAAGTTTTAAAAAGTTTATTTTTTTAGTGATTTTTAAACTAGGTCAAAATTTAGGGTGTTACAATCTAATACTAGGGTTCACTGTTGAGTATAGGGGTTGATCATCATGGGCCCGCCACACTCCATCCGCCCCTGTTGTGCCCGGTCTCGTCTCCAACTCGCTCCCACCCCCAACCGCACGATGCCTTAGCCCTGTCATGCTCGGTCCCAAGCCCGCTGCACAGGCCATGCCTAGCCAAGCCGTGTTTGTATTATGTCTTTTCGGTCCCGTTCGCGTGCCATTAAATCCGGCTTGATCCGCTTCTTTTTTTATCCAGAACAGTATTTTCTCTCAAATTCCTCCAGAATTTCTTCAAACCATCCAAATTCCTCCACAACCATACCAGCCGAACACCATTGTTTTGGCCTTTGAAGAATACTCTATTTATTCCTTCCTATTTTCTATCATGTATCTTCTGTATAATCTCCTAAAAGTATTTTCATATCGCATATGAATCCAATGGCACAAGAGATTATTCCAACCAAAAACCTTCAATTCTTGGATCCGGCACTGAGCTGCAAGACAAATAGATTTCTTAGCTCTATGATGAGAGGCTAACTCTAGAGTGCAGCTACTTCATGGTTAGTTTTACAGAGTTGGAGCTCTCCTAAGCAGATTCTTACTCCCTCTCAAGATCTCCGCTCCAAGTTTCTATCTGGCTACTGCCGAGATTCATCTTTCGTCGTCTACTGTTACTCCCTCCATCTGAAATTATAATGGATCTTAGTTTTTAGATACGTTACTTTTACTATGTACCTAGACATAGTGTATATCTAAGTACATAGCAAAATCCATATATTCATAAATTTCAAAACATATAATATGAAAGGGGGGGCGACGTAGATCACAACAGACCATATGCGCATGCAAGCATTAAGGCCCTGCATCATTAATACAACAAATCTAATAGACAACTCATTCTCATTACATGAGTTGACTATACTATTAGCTCTTCATGCTAACGTGGCAAGTGGTTATAGCCTTCAACTGGCTAGATTACTAGTCATGCTTTTCAAGGTGGCTATACTATATCTATCCCCAAAAAAAGATAGAGTACAATTCTAGATTTCAACTGAGACGGATTTTCTTAATTTTGATTAAATTTATATAAAATATTTTAAATAAATATTTATAAAATGAAATAGATATACTAAAAAAATTCATAATTAATATAATGATACTTATACAGTATTATACAATTTTATATAATTTTGCTTAAATTTAAAACTACTCACATTTAACTCCTATAAAAGGTGAGAATTACACATAAGACTATATAAAACACTTTTTTAAGGGGAGACTATATAAAACACTTGATCTAACACCGTGCAAACATTAATGTGATGAAAAGTAAAGAAATACTTCCTTTATAAAAAAAACGTAATTCTAGCTCTGAATCTGAACACATCGTGTCTACGAAGCTGAATTATATTTTTTTAGACTAAGGAGTAGTCCAGTCAAACTCAACGGACTACCGCCTGCCTGCCTGGTTGGGCGCGCGGGCCTGCGGGCTGCGGCCCCGCAATTCCTCGTGCTCCGCCAGCGGGAGGCCTTCGAGGCCCTTCGAAGCTATCCCCGCCGCGCCACCCAACGAAACGCACCAAAACCCCTGTGGAAAACGCTAAAACCACGCGAACCGCGCCGGCATCGCGGTCACGGGCACCTCACCCCTCTCGCCTTCACGCCCTCCTCGCCCCACCCGCAGCCCCTCATCCCCTTCCCCCTACCGGCCATTGCCTAGGAGGCTAGGACAGGACCACCCGGCGCGCATAAACCTTATCCGAATCGCCGTCGCATGGAGGCCGTGCGCGCGTCGGCGGCGTGGGTCGCCAGTCGCTCCTCCCATGTCACGGTCGACCTGCAAGGTATGTTGTGGCTTTTGCCCCGTTGTAAACTTTGTATTGTAATATGGGGATGTTCATTTCCTGCTGCTGTGAGATGTTTACGGGATGATGGAATTTTAGGGTTTGCAAATGTCCGCCCTGCAGTTGTTTCATCATATATTTATTACGCCGGTTGTTTGTGTAGTTGTGTTGCGATAAACCCTTTCGATTTACTTATCTAACTTGACAGTGTGTTTCAAACACCCTTTTTATAGTCCATTTCTGTTACTTTTTTGCTACTTACTGGTTCCTGGCCTTTTGATTGTTGTTCAGTAATTTATCTAGAAACGAACTTGCGTTGCGTAATATCTAGCGCACACAGCTAGGCACACCTGTGTGTTTTTATTAATTTCGTATGGTAGAGTAGCTTGTTGATTTGATTATCTTGGGAGGTGGTGCCTTTGTCAAATCCTCAGCACTAGTGTTCCTCTTCAGCTCATCACCTGGTTGTTTTTTTCCTGCAGAAATTGAGAAGGTAGTGGACCAAATCAAGGGGGATGTTCCAAAAGTTGAGTGGGATTTCGAAGGAATTCACTACTTTGACAATGGGCCTCTCACGGTCCAGTACCTTTTCGTCTTGGATGCACTTAACTTCTGCTTCTGGCCAGGTATTAGTTCAGGCACAAAAAAAAGCTATAACGTCTTCTGAACATGTAAAAATCAGAATGAAGTGCTAAAAGCCTCGGTATCGCTGCATGTTGGGAAGAAAAAAGTATTAAGTGATTCAGGATGCTTTGAACTCGTAGTCGATTAGTCGTTTGGGCTGCCAACATAATCAGTTTTATTTTCTTGAAATGCTTGGTAGTATTGTGTACACAATAATACACAGTAGTATAAAACATGGATGTTTCCACCAGTAATACTTCTGTGGCTATTCAAGATTTACTTTGTCCACGGACCTGTGGAGTTTGCTGTGGGGTTTCCAAGAAGTTGGTTCTTTGCATTTTCTCCAGATACTTTAGTTATTACATTTTTAATTTGTATCTAGTTATTCTAGACGCCACACCTATGCCTTGAAATCGAATGTTTCTCTTTTGTATTGTTTGTGTAATTGCATTCAGTTACATTACAGCTTCTAGTTTTCCTGAAAGTACTATTTTCTACTGTTGAGCTGCAGTAGGATTTTTTGTATCGATGTTCATTCGTATATGTTTCTGTTGCGATCATGGTGAATTTGCCATTGAACAGATAAGGACTTGAGCTATGACCATTTGGCTTCTGGACTGAAGTTAGCCTTGGAGAAAGACAAAAATGCCCTTGATTCAGATCGTCTTCAGAATTACACTGGTAAGAACTTCTCATGAGGATCTTGTGTTAGGTTCAAGAGTTCCTTCTGCATTTTCTGGACTTCTGCTTCTGGTTCAAGATCAAGGGAATGCTTCTCAGCTTCTGGGATAAACTGTATTTTTCTAGAAATGTCATTTCACTGTGTAGATTGTGGTAGCAGATGAATGAACAGTAACAAGTTGTGCTTAACTGGATGTAATGGCATCCTCTCAGTCTAAATACCCTTTTTCATGCATTATATTCTTCTATTGCTAAAAAGAAGCTGCTCATTTCTTGCTGTGTCTCTAATTGAGAAACAGTTACTTACATCTCTGCTATATTCCTTTATAAAAACTGCTAATATGGAAGGATATTTGCAAAATGTAGGGCCCCAGCTCCGCCAACTTCTGAACTGGCCACGACCACTCCCAATTGAGGAGGAAAGAGTACGCCTTCTCCATGAGGTAATATTCTGCAACTGCTGCTTTGAACATTTCAGGCTTGGAACTCTGTTAATACATAAGTTATGTGGGTACCATGACTTATCAACTTTCACACTGCAACCCCCTTGTTTTTGGATAAACTTAGTTGTCTGCTTGATTTCTGGAATCATCTTTGCTGGTAGGCTCTACTTTGATTGCTGGGGTGTTCCATCACCGTCATTTTCATCATACTTTTAAACATTTCCAACCAGTTTTTTCTCCACTGATTTTTTCTTCCTTTCCAACATTACTTGTTTTGAATCATTTTTTTATTCATTGTTATGACACCTGTCTCAAGGTTGGGCTGGAACTTGAAAGAAGCTTTGGAGGCCAGGCTGCTAATCTAGTGAAGTCTGCTGAAAACTCTGCTGCAACTCTTATTGAACTGATTACTCGACATTTTCCTGGTAAATCTACTTGGTATTATGTTCAAAAGTAGACAAAGTTCAGATTGTCGTAATATTTCAAAAATAAGTACATCAGCTGATAGTCTCCTTTTTGGCCCCTTCTGCCCATATATGTGCTATAGCTTCCTCTGCTGATATTATTCCTTATTTGGGAATCATGACGGTGTTATAAAGTGTTGGTCTGGAAAACTATTTGGTTCATTTGTCAATTGTTCCTGGTGGGTCCTATTGGTAGTAGGCACGTACAGTGAAAGTGAAACTGGAATGGCCCAGCCACCCAGTACCACTACACATAAATTCAGAATCGGCCTGCTACTTTGGACCTGAGAGTCAGGACGGAAACAGTGATGGGCTGGTGCCTTGGCCTGCTACTTTGGACCTGAGAGTCAGGAAATAGTGATGGGCTGGTACCTTGTCCAGGCATATGAACTTCGTATGAGTTGGGCCATTCAAGACCAGATAGTTGTGAATATTTGATGCTTAAACTCTTATGATTTTTTTTCTTTTCTCACGCAAAAAATGATATAGGTTTCAACTTTCTAGCAGTTGGCCTTGAAACCTGTTCACGTGACTACACTTGAAGTTAACATTGATTCTAGGTGTTCATGCTACGTTTGATCTCCATTGATTTGAGATATTGAACATGAAGTTTCTTTTCTTCCAAGAAGAACATGAAACTGTTCCCATAGTGTTTAACTGATTATATACCTTTGACTAATATACCCGGACATGAACTAATCGTCTGCTTAATCACTCATTAATTGTTACATAGCTCATTAAGCTCACATGGCTGGAACGGACCTGTAGATTCATCTGTCCAAATGCACCTTGTTCAGTCCTTTTGGTTTAGTTGAAAAGAAATCCCAGTGATTTCACCACATTATTTACCTTAGCTGGACCTATTTGATTGCACAGGCAGGTTCACTAACAAATATGTACAGCTTTCAACTATTCAACCGATATTAGGTGAATAATTTGGTGGAATCACTGGGATTTCATAATTATGTCACAGTCTGAATTCAGAAATTAGGATATTATAACTTTACCCCTGATCTGGCCCGTAGCCAGCTTTGGAATATTTCATAATTTATTCTTTGATTATTGAATTTAAATAGTACCTTGCGCTCTTGCAGGGAATTTTAGCATGTATATTGAATCTCTTTAATAGCGTAGCGTTGTGCGACTTGGCTGTACCTTTTGTTAATGTTCCATTAACACGTAGATTTGAGATACGTTTGCATTCTTTCGAAACCAGGTTAATTTTTTCTTGTTTTGTACTGTCTTGAGTCATGACTCATGACCAAGTGTACATTTGCAACAAGTGTTTTTAAAATTTCCATTTTGGCAGGTTTCCGGGATCATTCACTTTACAAGGGACACCAGGTTTTCCTGTACAAGAGAGCTCAGATCTTTGTTGCTGATTTGTGGGGCGCCTTCAAGGGACAAAACTATGGCGAGTTCCAGGACATCAATTCCATCACCATATTTGCTGACTACATTGTTCCAGCCGTGCTGAGGGAGCTTGGCATACTCAAATATGGCTCGAATCTATCTTGCTCGATCGATTCGAATAGTGAGATAGTGCCTGGAAGCGAGGAGGAAGTGGAGATTCGCGCGTGCTCCATCTATGCAGTGGAGAAGATGAGGGATCTGATTGGCAAAAAGTTTGGAAAGCAGGTAGGCACATCTGAACCAGTTTCACCTGAGACTTTCATCAGTCATGCCAATGCCATTTGCTTTCTGACCTGCATTCTCGTTGGGGCAAATGGTTTTCTATTTACAAATATACATTCACTAATCTTCCTAGCCATTGAACGAGTTAAATTAACCAAGTCATAAAGCAGTCAATACGGAGGTTCGGCTCGGAACTAACGCCCTCTTGCTCTTGTGTTTTCTCGGCAGCTTCTGAGCATTGACATTGATCTCTGGCTCTGGTCCTGCGGCGTGCAGAACATGGCGCTGTCACATCACCGCACCCTGTCGATTTACTACTAGACAGGCAGGCAGCCGCAACCTCGGTCCCTGACCGGCCGACCCTGGCGGTGAGCGTATTCAGCTGGCCGAGCGTTGTCGTGGCTAACCATAACTGGTTAGATAGGTGTCCAGAGTTTTGTCTCCTTGGGAATGCACAAAAGTGCAAGGTATTGTAGGTCCGTCGCATGAGGATGCATGGTGTGGTTTTGAGACTTGAACAGCTGCAGTTTTCACATGAATTTTATCCGTAGAGACAAGGGAGTGAATGTTTGTTTGTCTTCAGGATTGATCTTGTTCGATGCATTTCCTTTATACTCTACAACGGTTTTTCAGTTACTGCTCCAACTCTTTTTTAATCTTGCTGAATTTGAGTAAGCGCCCTGCAAGCAATATAATATACTCCCTCTATCCACAAAAAAATAATTATCTTCCTCCATCTATAAAAAAATGCAATTCTCGCTTCAGAGTGTTTCAAACAGTTTGAACTTGGACTAACTTTATATAAAAATATAAACATTCATAATACAAAATAAGTATTATTAGATTAGTTATAGAATATATGTTCATAATAAATTTATTTATAGACATAAATACTAATACTATTTACTATAAACTTGATCAAACTTGAGCTAGATTGACCAATGCGGATACCATAATTGGATTCTTTTGTGGACGGAAAGAGTACCAATAGTAAGTGTACAGCAAAGAAACACATACTCTGACGTCAAACTTGTCTTCTGTTGCGGGAGAGACAACCTCCGTCTGCCGAGGTGTCAAGAGACCAGCCCCACGGTAACAACAGCGTGGAACCAAACAACGCGGAATGAGTCGATCCCTCCTCCGTTCACCTTGGCTAGGATCAGACAGATTTTTGCTTTTGGAGAACGTGGTCGTCCGCTGAGCCGGATGGTCACAGAAAATAACTTGCAGATAGATTAGTGGATGACAAATGGATTCGTCCAGTGAGGCAAACCAAACGGCGCGGATCATTTCGGACCGTGTGGTGATACAAACCAAACACGCTGAAAAAGATTCGGCGCGTACTGCCGCTCATGGCCCGATGGACAAGCGAAGCTACCTTGGAAAAGACATGTCGCGTCGAATAAATGTTCCCTCGTCTCCATCCAAGCCTCTGATCCTGCTCTTTTACACCTGCACCGGCCGCCCCCGACCCTACGGGACTTGTCCGAAGCGGCCAGCGGCGAGCGGCCTAGCTTTCCGCGGCTCAGGCAATGCGCCAATGCCTGCGTGCATTAGAGCACGCGGCGGCGCCGCCTGCGTGCCAGCGTGTGTGCGGTCTGTGAACACGGACTGCCTCTCGTTCTGGACGTGGCAGCCTGGCAGTCGGCTTGATAGACTCGTGGTGTCAGAGCTGTCGCCTCGCCCAAGCTCGTGCCGGTCCGGCACGCCGGGGTTGGACGGCGGCAGTGGGCACTGGGCAGAACTCCTCCTACCTGGCTGGCTGGCTACCTGCGGCAGTGCGGCTGCCTGCAGCGCAGAAACCAGTACTAGGAGTTGGCGGCGCGCGGCCTGTCGTCTGCACTGCACGGCACATTGACTTCGTGGCCACTGGCCACGACGGTACACGGTCGTGCGTTTACGGTGACCCGTGACGTTAGAAAACGCGCCTGGGGCCACTTTGCCTAGGATGCGTATGCGAGCCACTGCTTTGTGTCCGATCATTCTTCAACTGGCGCCAATCCTGGCCACACGGTGTCACGGTCCAATGCTGCCTTCGGAACCAGACGGGCTGCCAATCAGATTTCGACAGGCACCGCCCTAATGGCCTGTTCAGCTGGTATTAAAATCGGCTGATAAGTCAGCTGAAACTGTTTTGTTGAAAGAAAAATACTGTAGATTCTAATTGATAAGCCGGCTGATAAATTCAAGCGAACGGGCCTTAAATTCCCCCACCCGGTGATTTAAAAAAAATATCCCCCACCCGGGCTGGTTTGGTTCCCCACACCAAAACGAACGATCGATCAGTCCACTCCGGACTGCAGCTGTGCAGGCCGCCACAAACGATCGGGGAGCCCGAGATAAGAAGATCTCACTCAGGTGCGGCTACGCGCCAGCGCAATTGGCCGGTCGAAGGAGCCAACGAGGGGATCGCGGCCGCGTCCCGCGGCCGGTGGATGGCGACCTGCCGAAACAAAGCGAAACACCACCGGCGGCAGGGCGCGGAACGCCTGCGAGTCCGGGCGGAGGCGGGCGCCGAGCCGCGACAACTGACAAGGGAGGGCGTGGGCGTAGTGACTAGTGAAGGCCCAAACGGAAAGCGAAGATGCCCTTGGCAACTTGCTCTGCTGCTTGCCCCGAAGTATATATATTATGCTATTCTTCGAAAGGACAAAAGTTACGTGGTGCCGCACCGCCGGGTCGCTGAATTATATAGGTCGCACTCGAGAGGTTCCGTTCCGTGCATGAGTGTGACAGCGTAGTAGACCACGTCGCATCATCCCATGAATACAAAGAAAATAAAAAACTTTATAGGAGTCCTTGTTTTTTTCAAAAAAACCATAGATGCAAACCCTAATGGTGGTCTCATCCTTTGCGTCGCGGGTTGGTCCAGGAGCCATCCGAACCTAAAATCGAGCCTGCCAGTTCATTTGGTTTGCGGTGTAGAATGGTCTCGTCCGTCACCGGCCGATGCTCCCTAACTGATTTGGCAAGGCAAGCGCTGCAGCCGAGTCGTCCGACATAAAAACAGTGGATGAACCCGTGCGGAATGGAATCAACCTGACGTACTTAAACCTGCAAACCAAACACGCTAATAGAGATTGTAGATTTATAAGCATCCTCCGAAGACCTCTGTCGATGTTTTGTAAACCGGACTAGTAAATTTATACGAGTGCCACGCTGCTATAGGAAGATGATGGTAGCATCCAATAGATACGAGGATTTATACTGGTTGAGGCCGGATCCCTACGTCCATTCTCAGAGAAGATCGAGTGCGTGTTACTCGCTTGAATGCTCTGAAGTTCTTACAATGATGGATGCAAGAATGGTGAAGAAGACGAGGGGCAGCCCAAAGAGAAGCTCCAGGAGCCCTACTGCTATGGATGGAAATGGTAGAGGATGAAGAATGGGAATGTGTCGCCGTAATGGGTGTACTGGCTGCCCTTATATAGAGTTCGGGGCCAGGGCTTGTCACAAAGAGGAGGTTCTCCCGACCAAAGGGTCGTGAGCCTGAGGAAGATCCTAACTAACTTGGCTTGCAAGCAACTCCGCCTTCTAGTGTTTGCCCGGGCGTGGCTGTCGTCATGGTCTTGTGGCCACGTCGCGGCAAGGTCTGACGTGGTGTTACTTTGCTGGTCGTGGCAGCACTGTAGCCATGGTGATAGTTCGTCAGCTGTCCTGTGCAACGCGCATTCGTCATGGTCTTCGTCGTTGTCTCCAGGTCCCCCGGGGCGTCGTACCCGTAGTAGGTGGCCGCCCTGGGTCGTTGCTTGCTTGTTCGCTTCGTGGGGTTGAGGTTCACGACCCTGATCGTTGGGGTCGGGGCGCCTCGCCTGCCGGGAGGTCTCTAGGTCGTGACCCTTGTCATGGATCCCACCCCGCAGTGGATGGGATTGTACGCGCATCCTGTCGGTCCGTATTCGGACGGTGGGTTTCGTACCCGTTGCACCGTTGTGCGGTGTTGTCTTGTTGGTGCGGCGTGGCACAGGGATGAAGTCTGACCGGACCAAGGTGACCGTTGTCACATCGGTCCTTGCGGGGTCAGCGCGGCACGCTTGCCTTCGTCAGAGCGGGCACGTTGCGGGGCTCGACCTTACGGGGAAGAGGTCGCGTATTTAAGCATCACGTTGCTAATGCTGGAGGAAGAGTCCGTGATCGCCCCCGGTCTTAGTGCCTGGCCTGCTCTGCTCTGCTTTTGTTGGGTCTCGATCGTTTGGGCCTTTGCTAGCTGCTGTGTCGCGTACCATGCGGCCCGCTAACTAATCGGTACCCTAAGATACCCTGGGGTCATGACCCCGACAACTTCGGTTGATCTCATGACTAATAAAGTTATCGTATACGTCTCAATAGAAACATTGTTGCATAAGTAGCACCATTAAGTTCTAAAGTAAATCTGGAAAAATACAAACACACACTTTATGTCGTCGGTTTAAATGTACTAATATAGCTCTTCATAAGACATCACGGTAACAAAAGGGAATATTATTTTCAAGGAAAAAAGTATAGTAGTAGCGAAATGACCATCCTTAACCTTTGTAGAATTACCTTCTTTTTTAAAGCATACGTTATTAGAGATAGAGAGTGAAAATTTAATAATAAGTTAATAACTAGTCTTATATTCTGAATCGACAAAATACTCATCCAAGTTATATATTTAGAGTTCTCAATCCAAGTAAGGCCGTGTTTGCTTGCCCTGACGTCAGGCTCCTACATCCGTCGAATCTCTCGGAGAAGCAAGTTTGGTAGGTAGCATGCACTGTGCCAGCATGGCTCTGTTGGCAGCCGCGTGCTGCATCCAGCGGTTTGGCCGAGCTCGTGAGCCTGGCCCGACGTATGCAGTGCACAAGACAATAGCCCACACGTCATCCTTAGAAAAATAATATATGTATCTGCTAATCAACCAACCAAACATCTTCGTAGAAATTTCTGTAGCCACAGACACAACCAACCAAAAACTCTTTTTTGTAGGATCATTGCATCCACTCAGCAGTTTGCACTCATCTAAAATATACAATTTAGATCTACTACAAAATTTGATTTTGAGTAACCAAACACACACTAACATCGTGCAGAAGCCAGACCCGAGCTTATAAGTCATACCACAGTGCAAGAGATATGATAATTGGACGCCTGACCACGGAAATTAGGTACGGTCGGTTTCTAGCACTCCTGTATTCTTTTTCAGGTTAAAAGCAAAATCAGTTTCGAGTGTAAACAACTAATATATGCTTCAAAGTGGAGTTGCGTAACTTTTTTCAAACTTTTTAAAGTTCATTCAGTTTCTGCTTCGCGTAGCCTCGTGCCAGGAAAGCGACGAATGCTGCTGCCTGGAAAGGTGAAGCACTCGCTCACCGCCACACCAGTCGCGTAGCAGTAGCAGCAAAGCACTCTCCAGTCTCCACACACGGAAGCCTACAAGGTTCCACGGCGCAGGGCGTCGCCCCGGGTCGGTGCGGGGCCGTTCGTACCCCTCGCCCGATGTGCGGATCCACGCATCCCGCAAAGGCGCGGAAAAGAGTGGCACGCAGCGACGCGCCACGCCAAAGCGCGCGCCAGGGACGGGGCGAGCGCGCGGCGCACCGGCACCACCCGAGGCGTCCGCCCGATCCCCATCCGGCGGTGCGCGATCGCCCCGACCGAACGCGGAGACACGGAGGCGCCCCCGCACCCCAGGGGCCTGGAGCTGCCGAGAGGACTTTACCGCCTCGCTAACCCACGTACGCCGAGAGCTGGTAACCTCACCACCACGCCTAACCGGGGACCCGACCCCCCGTGGTTAGCTCGTGGTCACCGGAGACCCCAGCCCTGCGCTTATATAGTCGCCCTCCGGGTGGCCATGGCCAAGCTCCAGGGCAGGCGTTGGGTTGTATGAGAGGCGGGCCGCCTGGTGGAGCGTGGGTGGTGCCGGGGATGAGCTGCAACGGGTGCCGCGTGCTGCGCAAGGGGTGCAGCGACGCGTGCGTGCTGCGGCCGTGCCTGCAGTGGATCGACGGTGCCGAGGCGCAGGGCCACGCCACCGTCTTCGTCGCCAAGTTCTTCGGCCGCGCCGGCCTTATGACGTTCCTCACCGCCGTCCCCGAGCCGCGGCGCCCAGGTAAGCCTTTCAGCGGTTATCCGTACGATCGAGTGTTTACCCCCACGTACGCACGTGTGGTTCTTGACCGACGATTGATGTGCTTGCTCGCTCGCTCGCGTGATGCAGCCGTGTTCCAGTCGTTGCTGTACGAGGCGGCCGGGAGGACGATCAACCCGGTGGGCGGCGCCGTGGGTCTGCTCGGCGCGGGGAGCTGGCAGCTGTGCCAGGCGGCGGTGGAGACGGTGCTGCGGGGCGGCGCCATCGGCCCGCTGCCCGAGTTCGACGTGGGCCGCGACACGTTTGCTCTGGCGGCGAGGCGGGCCGTGGGGTGCTCGACGTTCTCCACGGCGAAGCGGGCGCCGACGACGAGGACGAACGTGGGGGCGGCGCCCGTCGTCCCACCGCCGGAGCCGTCGTGCGACCTCGGGCTGTGGCTCAGCCCCGGGTCACCCCCGGCGCAGGGTGAGCGGCGGCGGCCCGGCACACCGTCCATGACCTCCGAGGAGTCCGTGACGACGACGACGACGACGACGAGCGGCGGCGCGCGCGGTGGGAGGGAGCCGGAGCTGCTGAACCTTTTTGTCTGAGAAGAGAGACTTAGCTATAGACGGCTTGGCTAAAAGCCAGCGGTCGATCATGCATGTCATGTGCCCCTCGGCGCGGCGCGCGGTGTGCTGTGCTGTGCTGTGCTTGATCCCGGCGAAAACGTTTGTCTAGACTAGCCTCTCGCCGGCGAGGTACCCGTCCGTAGTCTTCTTCTTCCTTTTTGGGCTCGTAGAAACCATGGGCGACCGCCCACCGGTGCCGGCAGCAGCAGCTCTCTGCGGCGGCTCTGCCTGCCGCCGTCCGTTAACTGTTTATTTTGTTTCTTCCCAACTTTGTTGGCAAGCACAAAGCAGCAGCAGCACCGCTCCATCGCTGAATAAAAATTGTAAACTAAGGGTAAAGCGAAGTGGCGCTGCGTCGATCTTAATCTTATCTTCAGCGGAGCAGCAGCTCGATCAGGATCAGCTTATCCAAAGCGAGATTAGTGTTGGCCAGCAGTTCCGGCCCGTGCTTTATCGCAACCTGTCCAGTCCGGAGGCTGCTCTCTACCGGCTGCGGCCTTCTCTGTCGATGATAGATAGCTTGACAAAGTCGCCATGGGTTAAGTGGCGTGTTAGTAAAACCCAAGAGGGCGCTAGAGAAACTCCAGAGGTCACCCGCGGAAAGAAGGGGAAAAAATGCAGGTGGGGGCGTGCCGGCGTGGGCTGGTGGAGTGGGACGATCATTGGCAGTGAGGTACACCGTACGCCGCGCGTGTGGAAGGGTGGGGTTGGAACCATACGGCGGTTCAGCTTTTGCGCAGGGGGATGGTCGGCCGCCCGCCTGCTGCTGCTTCGGCGCCGCGTTCCGGTTCCGGGGTGACGCGCCTGACGAGTGACGACTGGACGCGCGCGCGCGACCGCACGGGACGAGCGGCTGTTTCCGCCCCGCGCCGACGTCGTGTCCTCTGGAGCCTGCTCCCATCCCGTGAGCCGGCTCCCGGTGCCATCACCCAGCAGGACCGCGCACTGCTTCCTCAACACATAGCAGCACTAGGGGACACCGGAAGCAAACGTGCTCTGCCACACACGGACACCGGAATTTGCGCCCGGTTCGTTTCATCGAAATTTGGCTTATGCCGAAATTTGAGAAAAAAACAGCGTTCGTTTGCTAAAAAGTATGGTTGAAGAAAAGTACGATTGAAGTAGTGCTACAGACCAGGGCGGCCAAGTTTGCATTGCATAGCTGAAGTACTGCTAAAGTACTGTTCGTTGGCTTTGCATTGCATAGCTGAATTCTATTCTCAACCAAAAAAAGGAGAAAAAAAAATCCCTTGCGTTGTGTTGACGGCGGCCAAGTCTTAGGTCCAGGACAAGATGAGGGCGTTCAGCAATTTTTGATTCCCATCGAAGGAACGTGTGGGCATATATCTGTCCCATCGGAATTTGCTACGGAGATCCTTGGTGTACTCCAAATAACGTGGGGATCATCATTCCGCGATCTCATTGCCGCTTCCACAACAAGGAAAAGGTGTGGCCATTTTAGAATTCCGGAGGCCGATCGATTCATTTGTGATGATTTATGCCCGTGGAACATTCTAGACCTTTTGTTTAGTGGCCAAATTGGACACTGCCGGTTGATTGATTCCCCCGTTCCACATGATACACATGAGTTCTTACTTCCTGTAGTCGTATCCTATCCCTGTACTGTTCCTCTCCGAATAGAAGAACCTGCAAAGTGGAGTAGTAGCACTCCGCTACTGTTTTCTTTTGTACAGTTGTGGCAAGCATGTGCAGGAAGTACTTGGATGTTCTCCTTCACGGCTTCGTTCGGCGGAGTCAACAGTCAAGTTCATCTTCAACTTTTATACACAAAAATAGTTTAAAGTATATAGTCCTATATTCTATTATATGATATTGTATTTTAAAAAAGCACCTTTAAAAAGTTGGTCCTGAACTGAACGAGACGATTGCTCCTGCACCTGCATGCTACTGGTCCTCCTGTACACAGTAGCAGTCTCGCAGGCGGGGAAGGGAAGGGGAAGGGGGATCCCCTTGCACCGTCGTGCCATGTTGAGCCGGTGGACAGTGGCAAAGGGCCGAGGGCCCTGGATTCAATAAGGAAGCAGGATGTCGGTGTTTTCGCACCACCTATGAGTAAATTTATATTTACGTGTCGACGGCTTGGATGATGTGCTCGGACGACACAAGGGTTTATACTGGTTCGGGCGGAACGTCCCTACGTCCAATTCGCTGCTGCTCGTGTTACCGGCACTTGGTTTGCAGTTGGGGTTATAAACAGGCGAGAGAGATGATCCCAAGTCTCTAGTGGAAAAAGTGAATGGGTGCTAAGAGCTCGCTTGCCGCTCAGCCGTATGCTCGTGTCGTGCTCTTGTGTATGTCGATCTCCCTTGTGTCGAGCTCTCCGCTTCCCCTTTTATAGGCGAAGGAAAAGCGCGGGTTACAGAGGAGGAAAATGAGAAGAACGAGAGAGAAGAAGGCTTCTAGGGTTGCTAGGTCCTTCTTCTCCTTCACGCAGGTCCCGTCGATCCTGTAGATGTCAACAGGGACGGCTCCATGTCGTGGCCCTGTTCGTCACTGGCGCCATGCACGGGCGTAATCTACCGGTCATGGCGTTCTACTCCGTCCCGGCGGACGTCGTGGTGAACTGACGCGCATGTCAGCGTCTGTACGAGGATTAGGCAGAACAACACCGGCACGCTCGGCACTGTTCTTGATGTGAGTCCCCAGGTATGGCCCGTCATGACCATGGGTTACATCGAAGCATGTCAGCCTCTTTCCTGGCGTCAGAGTTTTGACCGAGGCCCATACACTTGGACCTGGAGTGGTTGGCGGCGATATGGGTCCCCATCGAACGAGACGGAACCCACGTCCTCAAGGCCGGGCGAGATGGAGCCCGTGACCTTAGGGCAAGACAGAAACCGCGTCCTTGAGGGTCGGGCGAGACGGAAGCCCGCACCCAAGAGGTTGGCCGAGGTGGAGCCCGCGACCTTGGGCGAGACGGAACCCACGCCTTTGGGGTCGGGCGTGACGGAGCCCACAACCTTGAGGTCGGGCGAGACGGAGCCCGCACCAAGGGGTCAGGTGAGACGGAGCCCGCGGCCTCGAGGTCGGCGAGATGGAGCCCGCGACCTTAGTTTCGGGCGAGACAGAGCCCGTGACCTTGGGTCGGGTGAGACGGAGCCCGCCCCCAAGGGGTCAGGTGAGACGGAGCCCACGGCCTCGAGGTCGGGTGAGACGGAGCCCGCGACCTTAGTTTCGGGCGAGACAGAGCCTGTGACCTTGGGTCGGGCGAGATGGAGCCCGCTTCCTTGGGGTCGGACGAGACGGAGCCCACGACCTTGGTCGTCCGAGACCTTTTAATATGTTTCTAGCCATCCGGGAAGTTAGCGTGGGTGCAAACTCCCTTGCTTTGGATATCCCTAATATCGATACCCGACAGTAGCCCCTGAGCCTGCGGAGGAGAAGAATGCTCCTTTGGAGGCTTTTTCGGATGGGAGGACTCTGAGGGCCTTGGCCTTCTTTTTTGTAGCCCATGGCGTGTCCTGGTAGGATGGCGATTCCCTTTTGTTGCGATCGGTCTTCTTGGGGGCATGTAACCGGAGGATTCTAGAGGTCGGAAAGATTTTTCTTGATTCCGGTCCCCTAGGATCCGATCGGTCCACCGTTGTACTACGCCACCGCGTGTTTGGTCTCCTTGCGAGTCCAACTTCTCTTGAGCCCCTATGCGTAGCAGGGGTCCGGTCGAGGGTCGGCTCATCTTTGTGATCGACATCCCTCAAGCGTTTTTTTGATAAAACAGAGGGGCTGAGCCGTGCCACGTTTTTCCTTGATGTACGAAACATGGTGCTTGGTGAGCTGTTAACGGGCTAGTCTGAGTGGGGCCCCGGCTTCCCATTCGTGGGGGTCTAGCATGGGTCAGCTGGTGACCGACTCTAGACTCTTAGCGGCCAATCCATATAGTTCTTGGTTCCGTTTGGCCAACCCCAAGGGCTTGTTGCCTTTCTTTGAGGAAAAACCATGGACTGGGAACCGCCAAGACTCGAACATGGGCCGAGATGCCCGTGGCGCTAGTGCGCCCGGGTACTAGCCGCTAGTGGGCCTATCCCTTTCCACCTCTCGCTCTAACGGTGCCCCAGAGCGGATGTGAACCCGTCGGCGCACCAGCCTTCGAACTCCTGGTCTTGAATGGGCCATAGGAGTATTTTTAGCTTTGTATCCCTCCTTGCCTATGATGGTTCTCGGCCCATCGATCCCCATCATCCGGTATGTCCTTCGAGGGCGTGGCCAGAGATAGCGTGCGCATGATCTTCGGAGGGAGGTGACGTGACGCAGCGCAGCGGGCGCGTGAACCTAGGCGGATGGTTTGCCTTCTCACCCCGCTCGTCCTATAAATAGCAACCTCCCCCTTCACGTCTCCACACACCAAAACCATAGCCTTACCTTCTCCGTTTCTCCACGACCGCCATTCGGATCTACCATGCTTGCTAATCCACCGCCGAAGCCCTAGATCTGTAGCTTCTGCTTCTCCGCCACCACCTTTGCTTCTCCGCAGCCGCCTCCATCCTCCATGGATTCATGGTATCGCTCCGATGTTGCCCATGCACGCATGGAGGGCCTCGTCAAGCGTGGTCTTCTCCGGGGAGGACTAATGTGGCGGAGTGGCTTGTGCCCGGCCATGAGGATGCGCCGTGCCACCCAACAACTATGTCGTCTCCTTCGCGCCCTTCCACGCCCGTGGACTCGTGGTTCCTCCCCACTCGTTCTTCGGGGTTTGCTGCACCACTATTAGATCGAGCTACAGCACTTGAACCCCAATGGGATCCAGCACATCGTGGCCTTAATCGCGATGTGCGAGGGGTACCTAGGGATCGAGCCCCACTTCGAGCTATGGAGATATTTCTTCTCCATCTCCTTGATCAAGAAGAAGGAGAGAGGCTGGGAAACCCCGGTGCTGATGGGATGCGCAGGTATCCACCTCTGGGGGCAGCGGGTGGCAGAGTACATGCCCTGCCAGCTCTCTAGATCCAACATGGGGTGGC